TAAAACAATTATTCATTTGCCACCTCTAATAATCTGAACAGTAGTATACTTCTAAATGGGCAAGGGCAAATGCTTTATAAAGATCGCAACCATCTGTTAATTATAATTTTATTGTTAAAACAATTATTCATTTGCCACCTCTAATAATCTGAACAGTAGTATACTTCTAAATGGGCAAGGGCAAATGCTTTATAAAGATCGCAACCATCTGTTAATTATAATTTTATTGTTAAAACAATCAGTGGCACAGCGGAATGTCTGCGGACTTACAACGCTAGAATCCGGGTTTCGATACCCATGGTGGGCAGAGCACAGATAGCCCATTGTGTAGCTTTGTGCTTAACTACAAACAAACAAAGAAAATCAAACAAACTTCATCTAACAGTTTTTGTACTACTAGCCCTGATGAAACGACAATGGCGAAACGTTAGGTGAAATAAAAAGTATTATTATTACCTGGAGAGTAATGAGAGTAACTGGCATTGCTCAGGTGAGAAATATATTCATGTAATGGAATTGTGAGCAAGTAACATATAATTCCACAATAATTATATGATTATATATATTGTAACAAGAATATAAAAATCAACAAACAAGTTAAAATTAGGTAAGAATAACAGTATATGTATACAGTGACATAATTAAAATTCGATACAGCAATCTTTTATCAGTATATATATATGTGTGTATATAAAGAGATCTAGTTGAAATTCTTGTATGGTTTTGAGATATTGATGGTGTTTATTTAACGTATATGGAAAGTTCAATTATCTTTAAAATACCTCAGTATTTCCCATTTTTTTACTCGTCTTTAAAGTTAATACAAAAACGAGGGCTGTTATTGTAGCATAATTTATCATTCGATATGAAATTTTCTGCGAATAAAATTTCCAATAAACCATTTCCCTGAATTACCTTTAAATTGCATATCGAAGTTTACAGTCAGAATTTACAGACATAACTTTCAGATAGATGTGGTACTTACTTACGGTAAAATCATAGAAAATAAAACTTGGGAATGTTGCGACCTGTTATTTAAACTTTGTATACTTTGACAAATACTTAATTACGACACGAGAATCTATGCACTGTGAACAAATGTAATGCTTTGGCCATTGTGTAGCGCTTTGACTACTGTGAATAAAAGCTTAACGTTATCTGGCTTCACTCAAAATTTCGAAAACTTGGATTGGTTGATTTACTTGTTTGTTTGTTCACGTAAGCGACCAGGTCAAAGGCCGGTAAGTCCCCCAAAGTCCCCCAGGCATAACCGTTCCTAATTTTGAACTGCGAATCAGGGGAAAATGCAACCAATTGGTAGCACCCGCCGCCTAAAGCAGTTAATCTTAACTGAACAACAGTATTGGCTGTCACTCTTATAACGCAACCAGAACTGAAAGTGTGAAGTGTGCTTCGTATCATCACGTATCGAACTCGAGACTCTTGTATTTTCAGTGTGATACGCCATCTACTAGACTATGCTCGCTGGTCTACTATATATATATATGTGTGTGTTCGTTTAATTATGAACTTTGTGAGTCAAAAAACAATTAAAGACAGTAAATCTGAACTTTACATAATAGGCATGTCAGGTCGACAAAATTACCTATACAATAAAATAATATTTTATAATATATTAAGAGGGTT